GGTATGACACGTAGAAAAGATGTATACCACGGAACACTAGAATGTTTTATCTACATGTATGTGCTGATTTGTCATGTGCCCGTTTTTCATGTACTACAACTTCACAATAAGCTACAAAAAATCGACATGTCTTGCTTCGCCCATCACCTCGACATATTTTTCGGGCTAAAAATGAACCTGTGGCTTGATTATATATGCATCATACATATTTAGTATGTTCATTTACATATCATCTTCGGACAAATGGCAGTATATTGTCAAAAATAATTGTAAAATTCATAAAAACACCCTACTTTCGGTTTTGCAGCGGCACGGGCTACCTCTCTTCATTTGAATTTTTATATCACAGGCACCCTCTCATTTTTTACACATAGGCACCCTCAAGGCACGACATATTCTTTTATTTGCGTTAATCGTAAGGTATGTATAAATATTTCTTACTTTTATGTAAATATTACATACTTCACGATTCGCTGCAAAACCGAAAGTAGGGTGTTTTTATGAATTTTACAATTATTTTTGACAATATACTGCTATTTGTCCGAAGATGATATGTAAATGAACATACTAAATATGTATGATGCATATATAATCAAGCCACAGGTTCATACCAGTCCGAAAAGTATGTCGAGGTGATGGGCGAAGCAAGACATGTTGATTTTTTGTAGCTTATTGTGAAGTTGCAGTACATGAAAAACGGGCACATGACAAATCAGCACATAGATAAAACATTCTAGTGTTCCGTGGTATACATCTTTTCCACGTGTCATACCTCCTTTCCTTATTACAATGAATTTTTACTGGCTTGTTATCCATCGCTGGTTTGTTTTGAGCAGAGAATGACCTGTGCATGCACAAAGAGGGTACCGTTTCAGCAGATTTCGCAAAGAGGGTACCGATATGGATATGCACCGTGAATAGTGACAAATAAAAAGACAACTAATACAGCAAATGTTGGTCATCAAAAATGCAATCAAACCTATAGTTAATGTAAACAGATACTGTACGTTTAGGATAATTATTTAGAGACGCGGATGTCAAGTCCATTATAACTGTGTAAAACAGTTATCATATTGTGTTTATAATCTCAAGTCAAACAGGCTTGCTATATAAATGAAAATATCGACAACTTAATCAAATGTCAGCGTAACGCAGCAGGTAAAGTTGTCAGTTAATCTTCTTGTAAAATAGCAAAGCAAGACTGCTGGTTCGGATTGTACTTTTTCGCGAATATTATTTCTGAAAATAAACAATCAAATACAAATATGGTATATTTTTCTCGACGTAAGGAAATGTTTAGTGTTGCGTTCATTTCTTTTAACATCTCATTTCAAATTTGTGTTTTGTTTTTAAAAGTAATATCTAGCAAGTTTGTACAACTTTATACTGAATACTAAACGGAATGAATAGTTTCAACTATAATTCATTTGGCACGAAATACTCGTGCTCTGCACAAGTACTATGATTACTGCATGCTTCACACTACATAGGATAAAAATAGTATTACCGGCATATTTAAAATATAGATATTATGACAAAACTTATTTGATTTCCCAATTCCTTTGCATCTTTAGTAAAATTTAAAACGATAAAAAAGAAAAAGTTACACAACTTGTGAGGCTCCAACTCGTGAAAAAATTTCAGTTGTATCGCATCCCAATGGCTTTACCAACTTTGCCATCGAGACATTTCAAACCCCATCGCGGGATCCAGTTTTGTGGACGGACTGACGGACTGACAGACAGACGGACGGACGAAAAGACGGACGGACAGACGGACGGAGGGTAAACCTAAAGTCCCCTCCGGTTAAACCGGTAGGGGACTAATAAGCACATACACGGCACTCGGCTCATGGTAGAAATGCGCAGTTAATCATCGTGTATTTTTTGCAAAAAACTAATATTTAATCACATGTTTCTTCTATGACTTCATCTAAGTAATTCTTTAAAATAATGGATGTCCGTTACTTTTTGTCGATATTGCTAGCAACGGCAGAGGCCGATATTGTTTACAACGGGAAAATGACAGGCACGCAGAAATTAGAAAATCACGAGATCAAATTTTTGTTGTAATTTGGGAATTACATCTATATAAACATTTTATAAAAAAAATCAGAAGACGAACAGAGGAAAGAAAATTTCAAGATCCTTAGTGTTTATGTGGCATATAATAGTTCCATTGTACTAGTATCATAATAAATACATGTGCTAGATTTTATTGTTTTATAATTATAAAATGTAAATATGACAATCAATTATTGATAGAATACCTGAAGAAAGATCAAATACATTTAACTAGATGAATTTGGAAATAAAACATTTTGTATGTTGCTATCATTTGATATAAAGTTTAAAATGACCATAAACAAACTCAGTCAGCTGATAGACATTAAAATATTCATTTCTAATGCAAAAGCCAAAAAAGTTCTTCCTTACACAACAGGTCATTTCACGCAGTAACCCCCGACCCCTCCCTTTCAGTATGATTTCGAATAAGAAACTGAACGATCGTATTTGAAACATGAAATCTTTTAGATTACTAGCAAACATGGTGAAACAATATTGAAACATTTTAATTTTTAGTGGCTAACTCCATTTCATTTTTAAAGATATTAAAAACTACGGATTTGCATCAGAAACATGAATCTAGGAAATCATCTAGATCGAAGTTTTTGGATAAGAAAAGAAAGAACTAAGAAGCGTGAAATCTCTCGATATTTTTTCTTAAGAGTTAGGTTGCAATCGTCTAAAAAAAATTAATTTAAAGCACATTTATTGTTTATGTAAAAATGCTGACCATGTTATATCAGTTATAAGACTATATCTCTTTTTAAATATTGTTTTCTTTTTCCTATTTTGAAATGAAACAAATTTAATATTCAAAAGTTAGATTAATTTAGATTAAAAGAGCAATTTTTATTTTTAAGGACTTTTGTTTTTATTCACTACATTTCCGTTTAATGAATTTATTTATTTATTTATTTATATTTTCATTTATTAATTTATTTATTTTGATTTTAATTTTTCATTTTTATATTGTGTATATTTTTTATGTATTCAGATAATGTCAGCGATATTTATGTCAGCATATTAATAGCATTCATATGGTACTTATTTGCTATATACTCGTATGTAACAAAAAAGAGCTGTGTCTTGTAACTGCTTGTCATATTATCGTTTGTATGACTCATGCAATGCAAATTTATACAAATGTTCATTTATATATAAAGAGAGAGAGACAGATTTTATCATAATAATTTTACGTTTTATCATTATAGCATAATTTGAATAGTGGCATTAACAGGCGGCACATTAATTATTTACAATGCGTAATAAAATCAACAAATATATATATCAAAGTGCGTTAATGTAGATAACAATAAGTCCCCGTTGGTATTATAAAATGTCAAACTAATCATGTACACATTAGGTAAATGGTTATTGAATCCCTGACGTGCTGAGATAATTTTAATTTCATTAATTGCATTCCATTGTGCAACTTTCATTAGTTTTATGACATTTTCAATCTCATATCTAATTCTTTGATTCCGAAATTTATTATTCCCTTTCGAAGTAATGGAATTGTTGAACTTAATTTGTCTGTTGCATCAACCTGCAACTTGTGTCAATTTTAGTTTTCATTCTCTATGTCTCCGACCATTATGTTTAGATGGCAGATTCACACTTGCAAATACGTTTTCAGGACAATAACATTGCCGTTATGTTCACTTGTCGAGGTAACTGTTCTAACTGATTGAAACCGTCATCTTGTACAATTTGATATTTTGTGGGAACATCCACCATGCCTATTGATCCACGTATGTATAACTATCAAATGCAATTTATTTTTAGGTTGTTAGAAATGTTAACTTTGTGTTTGAATTAATGTGTTTGAACGCAATAAAAAGGAGTCTATACTGCCAAACAAACACATGGGAAATGTTGTAATGGCGATGCTCTGAAACACAATTTTGATATGAACCCAGATCCTGAGGATTGGTAGTGAAAATATTGTTTGCCATATTATTGCCACAACTTAAATTAGAAGATCGAAACACGAGGCTATTTCATTTGTACGAGAGAATGTAGCCCCCGAGTATAAATACGATTGCTGAGTGTTTTAATGATCTTTCTCATCATATTTGTATCATATACAAAGATAAAAACATGTTCCCTGTCGTCAGACTATTAAACTATTAAATCTCAGAAAAATTAACCAATGTACGAACATCTGAATATGACATTTCTATCGTTATCTCTTTCCCTGTCGTCAAAGTAAGTAAACCCAAGAACAAAATGAGCCGGTAACTAATACATGCACTCCAGTTAATGTACTGTGCATATATTTGTATACGATTTTACTACTTCCAATATTAAATTTTCCAAACTATGACAAGGATGATTCATATCACGCTAGTATCTAAATATGCACCTACTTGTCTTTATTGAAAAAGAAAGAAAACATATATAGTACAGACACTATGGATACGATTGTTACAAATCATACAGTGTAAATATCAACAAAATATATTCTTAAAATACAAACGTTGTATCTCTCGTTATTAAATCATTTCATAATTCGGTTGTTTTTTGTTGTTTTTTTTGTATTTTTGTACGTGTTTCATTACGTTACTGAAACAAAAACAAATCCTTAATGTTTTTACCCGATTTGATCTAAACAGAACAAACGAAGAATGAAACTTGACATTTGTGTCTTATTTGCCTCTTCTCAAAAGCTTTTCAGATTGGGTGTTTCATTAATTTTAAATTGTATACAAACATAGACAAATAATAAAAATATTAAAGATAATAATCCATTAAATTTGCAGTGTGTATTCAGGTCTCGTTCAATTGAGGAAATGAAATTAATGTTTGGGATGATTTGCGAAAAGCAGAAACGCCAATACATTGCTTATTCTTTTGATATCTATTGACATTTACAAATTATGGGAAATAGATGTTTCATATTGAGAATATATTCGTTTGTATGTCAATCATTCTTGTATACTTGGCACTAACGGGTCGTTATTTTTGATAAATATCTCTTACAGCGAATGTTCTGTTCAAGTCAGAAAACTGTTAAGCGGCTGTGAAATATGTTTGATTATGATTCAAGGATCAAGTGACAAAATTGAATATGGAATAAGAAAAGGAATTATTATATCAATGATATAAAGGTAAGACTTGTTTTGTCCTTTAACGTGCTTATTTGCAATTAAAAGCGAATCTGATTTGTAATATACAAACACTTAATAATGTACAATCAACCAAAAGTACCTTCAGTTTCTAATTTTTTCAATAGTTTCAATTTAAAATTATTGTTTTTCGATTTTTAAGATAATTCCATAACATACGTTTTTGCAATGTAGCAATGCTGGGGGAAAATGCATTTTGTGACAAAAATAAATATGATTTTGATTAACAAAGAACCACAGTAATATTATGATTCTAAGATAACAAACTGTTTTTAATAAACGAGTTCCATGAATAACTTTGATGAATTGCTTCAAAACTTATAAGTTTTTAAGACGTAACAAAAATAAAACATAATTTTTCAACAAAAAAAGTATGCTTTTGATTTTTAATAAAGAACCAATTTGAAAGTAATATCTTAATAAATTCAATAATTTAGTTAGTACATAAATAACTTTTTTAAATCCACTGGTTAAAACTAATAAAAGTTTACATTGCAATAAAAGCATAACATAATTCACTATAAAAATATAGAACTAAATGATTAAAAGCAAATATAAAAATCACTTATCCTCACTTTGGACCTCTAAACATGTTTATAAACCTCGTAAGTGTTTAAATTGTTAGAGCACAGAATACTTGAATAAGTTTTGAAGAAAAAATGAATTTTTACTTTATAATATTTTCCTTTCAGACTAAACAAAACATCTTTCAAACCCTGATGTTTAACCGATAGGATTTCTATGCTTCCATTCTATTTCATCTCTCCTTTGTCTCATTATTTAAAAAACTGCGTACACAAACCATTATTAAAAGTTGTCTTTACCATGTATCTTTTGGATGTTTGCTCAAAGGAGTAATTAATTTAGGAATTCATATACTAATATTTAAGATCCATGTTGATTTCAAAAGTAAAATGATAAATGAAGTTTTTATTTTTAAATTGATATATCTTCTTTTGTGCTGAAAACAGTTGAGTACGAAGATAAACGATCATATAGAAATAGAGTGTTTAATATAAATACCTGATGTCGAATGATATCTACAAATTACTAACTTTACCACTAAATTTATTACAAATGGAATTAGTATAATCCAAGGTATGTCAAGTAATCTTTCGAGTGAAAAACAAAACATTTCTACCATTCAATGAGAGAAGAAAATAGTAAACAAATTTATTTTAATATGTTAGAGTGTTTCTTGTTTGTGCTGAGAGTCAAAATACAGACTTTAATGTTTGAAATGAATTAAAGCTTTTTTTTTCAAAACATGTTTGATATAAGAAAAAATTCCAACTAAAACTATAAAGACAAAAAATCATTTTAAATCTTATCTTTTTATTTGATTGAATTTTTATTTGAAGTTTTTTTTGTTGTTTTATTTTTTTCATGTGATTTTTTTCCAAAATGACACTTGTATTCAGTGTTCAACCTATAAATAGTTGTTCGAACTAGATGTTATCAATTCTTTTCAAAACCGTGTATTTCAAGATGTTGAAATGTCGCGAACAATGAATAGCAACCGGAGAATTTCGCAATGCATATTCACATAAAATAATCTTTTCCGTCAAGTAAAAATGATAAAGAAAAATACAATTGTACATGTACATGGTTTAAGAATAAACAATATAATATATTGAAAGATTAACCATAATTTACTGACTTTTTCCAGTTATTTTTTGACATATATTCATCGCTCAATATGACAATTTAATTCTTCAAATTTATTTTACAATTTTAATAAAAAAAAGTAGTAAACGTAAAAACTCAGTATTAAAATAGCACATGAAACACACAAAAAAAGAAAAAGAAAGCAATATTCATTAAATATGTAAAAAAAAAATATATTACAATTATTGTATAATAAAACAATTATGCTCAACGTGGTAATATAACCAGTGTCATATTGTTAATAAGTGTGAACAGATACCTTAAAAGGGGATCTTCGCTAATAGCGATAACATAATAAGGGACAACATACAAGTGTGGAGTTGATCATGCCTTACACAGATGGATTAAAAATGATTGCATATATCCGTTGCTATTAATAATCACGATATTACATTTATGACAATAAAAATAACAATTATAATATAATATTATATATGTATTTTATTATTTCAAAAATGTAAATGAACTATTGATTTTGACTACTGTTTGGTATGTTCCAAATAAAATACCACATGAACTTGAAATTCTATCAAATCACCAATATTAATAATATCCAAAGATACGCCCTATATAGTATAAATAAACTTATACCAGAGGAAAGTATATTTTGAATATCATTGACCTGTATATTTTAGATATTATCATTAATATTGATAAGATTTCAAGTTCCTGTGGAAAGAAAGTAATATTCTAATCTCTAGCATGCTTACCAAAGTTCATAATGAACAATGTCTTTCGTCCGCTCATTCATAAGTGATATACAATTCTGGTAAAAACCAATTAACCATTGAAAAGTTGATAAGAATATCTTGTCATCAAAAGTCTACTAGTTCATCTTAACTTGCTGCATTTCTTGCTTGGACACCCTTTGATGCTTTGAATCAATGCTTTTCTTGTTAATTAAATTGAAAGAAACAGGGGTGTCAGTATCTGCATGGAAATGTTCTACTAACAACTTTAGGTGTGTGATATATGTCAAAAGTTTCGGGGGAAAAAAGTGAAGAAATGTTATGCTGTATCAAAAATATTGTAAAAGGGTATATAAAGCAAAACAATATACAATTGGTAAGTCAGGTTTCAAACATGGTAACAACAAGACGATTTATCTAAAATATAACAATATGTGAGTTAGATCATATATTAGTTAGGTATCTATCAATATAAGGTAAATGAGAATAATGTCACGGGGACAGAATAATAAATACATACAACAACAATGTTCATGTTATTCGTCAAATAAGAGAGAGAAAAAAACACAATAGTGACAAATAAAAAGACAACTAATACAGCAAATGTTGGTCATCAAAAATGCAATCAAACCTATAGTTAATGTAAACAGATACTGTACGTTTAGGATAATTATTTAGAGACGCGGGTGTCAAGTCCATTATAACTGTGTAAAACAGTTATCATATTGTGTTTATAATCTCAAGTCAAACAGGCTTGCTATATAAATGAAAATATCGACAACTTAATCAAATGTCAGCGTAACGCAGCAGGTAAAGTTGTCAGTTAATCTTCTTGTAAAATAGCAAAGCAAGACTGCTGGTTCGGATTGTACTTTTTTCGCGAATATTATTTCTGAAAATAAACAATCAAATACAAATATGGTATATTTTTCTCGACGTAAGGAAATGTTTAGTGTTGCGTTCATTTCTTTTAACATCTCATTTCAAATTTGTGTTTTGTTTTTAAAAGTAATATCTAGCAAGTTTGTACAACTTTATACTGAATACTAAACGGAATGAATAGTTTCAATTATAATTCATTTGGCACGAAATACTCGTGCTCTGCACAAGTACTATGATTACTGCATGCTTCACACTACATAGGATAAAAATAGTATTACCGGCATATTTAAAATATAAGATATTATGACAAAACTTATTTGATTTCCCAATTCCTTTGCATCTTTAGTAAAATTTAAAACGATAAAAAAGAAAAAGTTACACAACTTGTGAGGCTCCAACTCGTGAAAAAATTTCAGTTGTATCGCATCCCAATGGCTTTACCAACTTTGCCATCGAGACATTTCAAACCTCATTTATTTACTTTGTACTATATTGGCCTCTAAAAGACCTGTGTTACCTATTCAGACAAAGATTGTAAACTTTTGTGTACACAAAACATGTAACGTCACTCTCACATTATCATAGCCGCACAGTACCGTGGGAATTTTTATTTACTATAGTATAACTATTTTAAGTAGGCACGCTTTCCATGATTTTTCGTGGCATTTCATTGTAATTGGCAGATTTTTTTATAACAATGTTAAGTGCATCTGGAACAAATCAACACCAAATAAGATTTATGCATGTTATTACTAAATAAACTTGTATGTTTATTAATGCAATTTGTATTTCGAGCTAAGGATGTTATACTATTTATTATCAAATATAAAATTTATTCTTATTGCGCAGGTGTTAAATAGACGTAGAGGAAAATATTTTACTTGGATCTATTATGCGGAGAATGTTTCTCCAATTTACAGCCGACCTTTCTCGAAACGAAAGGGATAGGTTAACTTATTGGATCATAATGTTTATTTGGACTATCTTTTAAATGCTGTCATTATTATTTTTGAGAAAAGGACGATATTTTTAAGTTCCTTACAAAGGTTTGAAAATTTAAGCATATTTGAGCCTATTGAAATAGTACGGTTTTATGTAACGTTTCCTAGATGCTAGGGAAAAAGGACATTTGAGAATATAATGAAACTCATCTCCAAAATCGTTTAGTTGACAGTGTTGGCATTTTCGTTCAGCATGAGGGACAAAAAACTGCCTCCACCTGCCTGTTTCTATAGGGAGCCTGTGGTTACCTGTTCTTAAGTAAAAAAGGTCAATCTTAGATAATTAGGTAATGTTATGAGGTACTGTTCGAAATTATTGTCGGATTTGAATGATTGGTATGTTAGACCTTTTGAAGAACCTGTAACTGAACTATTCCAGTTTTGCAAGAATTGGTCAATGAATGTACGTTTTATTGTCATACTGAAATTTTTAAGATTGATATTCATTTGGTTTTCCCATATGTATGTGAAACCGGTATTATTTAAAATTTGTTTCATACAGCCTGACCGGGACTCGAATCCGGGACCCTCGGAATACCGTACCGCGGAATACCGTACACTAAGCTATCCGGCCGCTTATACATTTTCTCCCCTAAATGGCGAACAGTTCTGAACTGTGACATACTCCCCTGCTGTACTGAAATTCGTCCTCGAATTTCACAGAGTTACAGAGCAATGTGAATTTAACTCTGAACTATATACAGTCACGGCTCCACGTTGGGCGCCAAATGTCACAGGGTGAGAAAAATGTGCAGCCCCACCTGGACTGAAACCAGGGAGCCCTGGAATACCGTATCGCGGCTTTACCGACTGAGCTTTCCGGTCGCTTACACATTTCTTCTCTAAATAGTGAACAGTTCTGAACTGTGACACACTGTTTCCATTTAAAACTTGTGTTAGAGTTGAGCATTATATCATAACATACTTTAGAAATTTTATTTCTGTTACCCATAACTAATTTGCCATCCTCGATTTAATGACTATGTCCATTGGATAGCGCCCAAGCTCTCTGTATAGCATATATAATGGTGTACTTTATTTGCTTTTAGTAATAGTTCTTAGGGAGTTATTTTGTACCGTTTCAATTAAATCCAGATTTTTGAATCCCCAAACTTCGCAGTTAAAAGTAAATATTGGAACAACAGTTTGGTCAAATAATTTCAACTGTAAATCATTTGGGATATCAAGATTAAATATTTTTGAATAAAGTATATGCATTGCTTTATATGCTTGATTTACTTTTTTTTCTATCTTTAAGAAAACTTCCTTTATTATTACTAGTGGTTCGTTGTTAAGAAGGAACGGAATTACCGGGTTTATTCTATCCAAATAAAATTATTTTAGTTATACTTTTATTTATTGTAAGTTTCCATTTAGAGCAATATTCGTAAAAGTCGTTCAATATTTTTTGTAATGATTCAGGACTATCACTCACAATTATAGTATCATCAGCAAAAAGTAACACAAATAGTTTAAGATAAAGGTCACCTTAAATATTTTGGTGTTCATTTTAATGCCATCATTGGTTAAACCAAGATGCGATTCTAGGTCGTTGAGATAAATAGAGAATAACGCTGGTGACAAAGTTTCCCGTTGGCGTACCCCACACTTACTTTTAAATAAACTAATAAATAACACATGGGTTTGTGGGTTACAGTAAAAATATCATCCAGAGGAAAATACTGTTACCAGATGCGATAGCCGGGGGTAACAGTATTCTTATGAGAGGTGATTTTTATTATTACCCCTCACTTTTTTCGTAATTTCCCATAGGCATCTGGGAGTTATTTTTACTGTTAATGCAAGTGTACCACGTAAATAAGAATTTTGTACTGTTACAGTATTTTTTAACACTATAAAATCTGGTCACGAGGTCTATTTTCTAAATAAAATGAAATAAAATGGCCGCCATTTTTTTCTCGATTCATTCTTATTTACGACGTTAAACCCAAAATTTAGTTGTTCGCATCCATGTGTGCATTTCGCGTATAAAATATATTTTTGTTGAATAGTCAAAAAGTGAACATCCGTTTCCAACGGAAGTAATTGCAATGTAAATAATTATGTGTCAAACTCGAACATGCAGAAGATTTAAGCATGCAACAAAGGATTATTTAACAATTTTAATCAGTAAAACGTTACAGATATGGTGGACAGACATAGGATATTATCGTTATTTTGTCAAAAACCATGCTAAGAATATTCTGGAAACAGGAGGATCAGATTTTACAGATCATAACCGTGTAAATGGGTTAGTGTTTTGTTTTCTTAATAAAACCTAGCTTATTGTATGTTTATGATTTGTAGATATCATCACTTGCTTAAAAAATAAAAGAAAAAGAAAACTTCTCAAGTAGGCCTAAAGTACACTTAAAACTTAAAAGGTAAGGACAGTTTAGTTATGGTAACTCTTGGTTTATTTTTGTTACAGTTAGATTTAGTTGACAATTTCAGATCATCACAGTATTTTTTTCGGGGTAATAAAATAAATAACACATGGGCTTGTGAGAAACAGTAAAAATATCATCCCTCGTAAAAATACTGTTACCCTCAGCTACGCCTCGGGTAACAGTATTTTCCTCGGGATGATATTTTTACTGTTACCAACAAACCTATGTGTTATTTATATACTGTTACTCACAAACCCATGTGTTATTTAAATTATTACTTTTTGACTATTCAATAAAAAGATATTTTATATGCAAAAAGCACTCCAGGCTGCAAGGAACTAAATTGTATGGATGTCATAGTTTCTCTGGTGATGCCCAATCGTGGTGAACTTCGAAAATAGGAATGAATGGAGAGAAAAATGGCGGCCATTTTATTTTACTTAGAAAATAGACCACGTGAGCAGATTTTATATTGTTAAAATAGTTACCTATGTAACAGTACAGATTTCACGTCACGTAGTACACTTGCATTAACAGTAAGAACAACTTCCAGAGACGTATGGGAAATTAACATTACGAAATAAGTGAGGGATAATAATATGAAATTGAACTTGTAATAATTTCTCTAGATGTTTTAGATAAAGGAGAAAATCACACTTCTTTGAAAGATGATTAAAGTCAATGTCCGGTTTGTTTTAGAAACGAAATGCTTTACGTAATGATGAAATGTTATAGTAAGCATTTGTTAGTTTGATTCGTAATAAAACGAAATAAGTTAGGACATGATAACGTTAACGTAAAACTTGTTTAACGTTCCTAATATTTTAGACTAATATCAATTTTTCAGTTTCAAAGAAATGGCCGGCAGGGTACGTATAGAAATTGGAGGTCAGGTATTCACAATTCCCCGTGAAAGCCTGGAAAAGGGGCCAACATCTCGCTTGCAGAAAATGTACAGATCAGCCTTTGCATCTTATAAAACATGTGTGATCGTCGAAGAAAGACCGCACGAAATGTTTGCTGCAATATTAGCAATGTATCAAACTGGAGAACTGCATATACCATTGACGTCATGTCCGGGTGCTTTCATGAACGAGTTGAATTTCTGGGAAATACCAGTGGAGTTACTTTCTCCTTGTTGTTACAACAGGTTAGATAGATTGATAAAATCTCTTTTTATACTTTTGGTTATTCTCAATATGGCATTGATGTCTTACTTTCGACCAACCACAATACTTTGAAAAACTGTAGGCCAAACAGAATTCCTTTGGCAAACCAAACTATGGGCTAGTAGATCATGTTATAAACTCGACCAACTTAGTAGAACCAGTCCTGTTATTTAATATCGTCCACCAGAATTTGTGACAAAACTATCGGGCAACCTGAATTCTGTGATAGACTATCTACTAACCAAAATACTGTCACAAATAACAACCAATGAAAACACTATGACAAACAAGTAGTCAACAAAATTCTTGTGACAAACTAAAGCCCAATAAAAATACTGTAAGAAAACACAGACCAGTCAAAACACATTGACCCTGTATCTGCTTTGTCATCCTAAAACAGTAGCATTATTTTAATTTTAATATCTATCAAGTATTTCTCATTATTCATAAATGTGTTGTGCAGCTGCAAATGATAAAATTCTTTAACAAAAGAAATGAATAAGTATGCATGATGATTTTTTTTAATATTCTTTTTAACACAAATATTTATAAATGTAATAGTTTTATGCTCTTAATTTGCAGTTCTACTGAAGGTGGATTGAATCACAATACAATGTCTCGTTTTATATTTTAATGTTTCTTTCTCAGTGGAATACCACAAACATTTATAATAAACCAAATAAACACAGGTTATCCTGATGTTTACAAATTGATATTAAAAACAGTAACCTTTATTTGTGGTGGAAAGCCACAATGTTATCACTTGTAAATGCAAAAATATAACTGTTTAATTTATCTATCTTTACAATATTCCTAAAAATTGTTTTGTTTAAAACTGACCAATAAATTTTTTAACATCTTTGTTCATTAAATAGGTTTCAATACAAAATAATGTAACATAGCAACATACATAGAATTTAGAAAAACAATCAACACTTCAGTCATAAGGTTTAACTACTTATTAAGTACAGACGGCTAAAATTACATTATCACCTAAATATAATAAAATTTTAAGCACCATTGATTGGACAAGGAGGAAAAGCCACATTTTATCTTCCGGTTACATAATTATTTATTTGACATCTGTGATTAAAACATATTATATCTGTAACTTAACAAATTTGAAATTTCACAAATTGTTTTGAAAATATGACCTTTTTAGAAAATGATAACATTTATAAATATTTGTGTTTAAAAGAAAATTAAAAGAAAATCATCATGCATATTTATTCTTTTTTTTTTTTTTTTTTTTTTTTTTTTTTTTTAAAAGAATTTTATCATTTTTCGACTGCACAACAAATGACCTATGCATGGCGAATTTCCGAGAAGGGACGTCAGATATCCAATAAATCTAAAAAGGTAATAAATCAATAAATAAAAAAAACTTACGGCAGATAATTGCAAACAATAACTTAAGCATTTTTTTGTTCAAGTACAATATTAAATTCAACGCTTAGTTATATTTGGTACGTACATAATATATTTCATTTCAGAATGCAAAGTTTTTACGACGAACAACAAACACTTAAACAGTTCAAAGATAGTTTAGAAGTAGAAACTTATCCAGAAGCACCGCAAACTTCACGATGTAGCCTACATTCAGCCCGTTTTAAGTTGTGGAACCTTGTAGAATACAGAAATCCATCGACGCCAGCTAGGGTTGGTTGTCAATAATCATATTTAACATTGAGTTTTGAATTTGTCTAATATCTATAAATGTTTATACATATTAGGAATGCCTCAAACATGATCATAATTTTACGATAAATTTCCAGAATATTTCCAATAGTTATTATATCTAGTACTTCATTCTCTTCCCCTCATGCATAGTTATATATCCATATTTTATCATGATAGATCGCGCATCTTTCTGTTCCGGAGAATGTTATCAAGTTTTTTCAGAATATGGTATTGTATGAACTTTCATAGCATTCAATCCTATAGAGAGATATAAATGTTGTTTTTATTATTTGTCTATCCGTATATTCAAATTCTTCTTTCATTCTGTTCTGACCTTGTATAGATAGAATCTGGCCAACAAAAAGGAAACAACTTTCAGATATGGACTATTGACGGCTCCTTGTTGGTAAAATTATTAAATATTAATCATCCTGTGGTATTGACTGTAGCCGCATACGTTATATAGACATGTGTGTTAGCGCTTAATTTGAGATACATGTACATGTATAAAGTATAATATTCTTAGTCTAGAAGTGCAAACTGTATAATATGATATGTTTATATCATTTTTATAGAAAAAATATTATAACAACACGTGGCTATTAGTTGAATGTGTGATTAAATTGTATTTTTTCAGGTCTATTTCATATTGTCCCTTCTTATGGTGCTGTTGTCGATATTCATATTGGCTGTAAAAACTGATTCAAACTTCCAGAGGAATATGACTAATTGCGAGCGTCTAGAATACATGACGTCTTCCGGTATGGAAAATGTGGAACTAATTAGAGAGACATTTGAAAAGTATTGTGACGAGAAAAATATTCCCGAAGAACCTAAACCTTATGCATTTACAAATAAACCCGATAAAAAGCCTCTTGAAGGTTTCAAGTATATTTTCGTCAAATTGCCGAATGACAATAAAAGCAGGCGTTCAGGAGAATATGACAATCGTACAAAAGCAAATAATTTTATTGGTACTAGGAGTAAATATGTATCAGTACCGAATATGAAAGTGACAATATATACGTTGTCTTTACTAGAGATTATCACCATTGCATTTTTCTCAGTTGACCTAGTTTTGAGGCTTGTTTCTTGTCCTAGTTTGAAACACTATTTCTTCTGCATTATTAATATAACTGATGCTTTAGCTTTAGTGTGTACATGTATTCATTTGCTTGTACTTCATATGCATAAGCATTGGCGATACACGGACAGTTGGATTGATATGTTGGAGTACTCACAAATGTTACGTGCTTTGAGGTTATTTCGTATTGTATCCAATATCCGAGCTGGAAAAGTTCTAGCTTACTCGATACGCGCAAACGTTAAAGATCTTTTCATTCTGTGTCTATTTCTGATTGCTGGAATGTGTACGTTTGCAAGCTGTTTCTACATAGCAGAAGATAAGAAGAATGTAAGCAGTATTTTGATTGGTTGGTATTGGGCTGTTGTAACAATGACTACGGTTGGATACGGAGATATTTCGCCACAGTCACAAGGAGGCCGATTCGTTGCGTGCATTTGTGCAATGGCAGGCGTGTTACTATTTGCTTTGACTTTGCCTATTTTTGCAAACCATTTTTTAACTTTGTACCAACACTCGGATGCGAAACATGCGTTTCAAAAACACCGTGGAAATGATTATTCGAATGCCATTGCTGACTCACAAACAGCGTGTAATAAACGAAGGGAAAAGGTTAAAACTTCTGTTAAAAAAGATCAATCCGTTTAGTACTTTACCAATTGTATAGACGTCGAATTATTTTCGTAAAAGGCAAATGGCTGAACAAAGCTTGTTTCTACCAGTATGACATTTACACATTTCATCGTTAATAATTAAGTGGCCATTTAACAATATTTTATACTTTTATTAATGTATACCTTTTGTTAGACCTTTAGGGGAATAGGTTGGCAAGACAAATTGACCGCATTGCCACCTTTTTAACATTGTGTTAGGCCATCTCAGAGCCTACAGCAATTCCCTACAATCTTTAGTAAACCAATCACCAGTAAGAAATATTAGAACTATTATTTAACTGAATAATTGCACTATTTTTTTTATGCTTTTTTTTTTTTTCTTTTTTTTTTTTCTTTTTATTTTTTTTTCTTTTTCAATTAAATTGTGAATTCTTGTTGTTTAATTATGTTACGTTAGGTTTTTAAATTTCGACATTTCGACGACCTTTATTTCGGAAAGGCCAAAGTTTAATTCAGGGAGCGATGTGAGGTTTGCCTATAAAATTTAATCTTCTCAATCGTACTATTTGTACTTTCGCCATTTTAATAAGATAGTCGAATGTACAATGGCCATAACGAAAACACCGTTAACTTTTAAATAGATTTTGAGTTCGCACATTTTTTGACTGATATACTCTTTAAGACTTGCAGGTAAGAAACGCTAGTCAGTCAATCTAAAAGATTATAACAGAAAAACACAACGAATGACAATTTGTTAATTAATTCCAAGAAATGAAATTATTAATTTTACATATATATATTTTTAATGTATACACTTCAAGACATCAGTTGTGACTATGAGTAATAGGAGTTAAATTGATAGCATGATGTTTTCTAATTTTTATTATAACAGCAAACAACTCCGCATATTATTAAATTGCTGGCCTTTTATACAATTTCTTGAATTTGCAATACAGGTCCTGCGCTTGTCATAACATATTTTTTAAATTTCTATCACATGAAAAATAATAAAGCATGAATTGACATTGCTTTATTATTCCTTCCATATTGCGACGATGTCGACTGTTCTCAGTATGTGCTGAAATCATTGAATAATGTTCATGCTATGACAAATGATCAGTGATTGATGTTCATTTAGTGTGCTGTGTTCCATGTCTTGCAGTTGATTATGAATATACAGTGAGAAATGTTAAAATATATTTCGTCCATTCAGAGACAAGTGCTCAGTAAAAACCGTTTGCTCAATGAATGGTTTTGAGGGTAAAAGATCATGTAATAATAACTGATCAATGATTATGTGCATTAAATAATTACTAATTCGTTATCTAAATTCACTTAGCCAGGAGGTCTTCAAAAAATATTGTTCTT